TTTTTGATAAATAATTCGTTCTTATTGCGAAATAGGAGCACTATTTATCAATCTGTAATAAAAGACGTGAGGAAATTCTGTCTTTTTTTTAAGACAAAAATTTTTGAGGCGAAATATCCAAAAAGAAGTTTGTAAAAAAATGAATCCGCCTCAACAATATAGAACTTATCTACATTCGTTTTTATTTATAAAATATTAAACCATCTGTCCCCACGACATCTGTTAGAAAATTGTAAGTTTGTGAAGGACATACATGATCATAACACTAGGTCAAATGACAATTTATATTTGAATAGAGTTAGTAGTAGTTCTAGTTTATTTTTTTTATTAAACAGTTTATTTTATAAGGGACTGAAACGTTATAATGAGTTGCCACGATGTAAGGTGCAGTAAGTCTTGGTATCTTTTAAAAATCTTGTGTTATATACATTAAAGAAAACATTAGCATTTGATTTAGAATATTTTTAAATTTTTGTTAAATGTTTGAAAATTGTATTTATTTGCTAGCAACAGCTATTAATAAAGATATTATTATTATTAATGTTGTTGGTTGACTAAATTACTTAAGGTTGGAAACAATTTCGGTACGTTGTAGTACAGTATTTTTCCTTAAATCTACCGGGTGACTCACTGTTGGATGGCACGCTAAACGTGTACGCAAAACGCGACTTGGGACTCTTCTGAAAAGATATACCGGTTTAAAAAAATTTCAACAAATTTAACGTTGTCGCTTCTCGCGCTTGAGGAAATATTTCTCCTTCCGATTTATTTGCAACAAAATTGGTTGATTCAGATATTTGAATTGTCGTTTTTTTCTGGCTCAGACCTTTAGTTCGTGGGATTACATTTCAGATTAAAATGTTTAAACCTTTTCCCAATAAGCAAAATTGGAAAAAATCTTAGACAAAAACCCGAACAGCGCAAATATGCTTACGAAAAAAGGTCTTAAAAATCCAACTGCGTTTTTCAGGTTTCGCTTCGAAACTTTTCGATTTCCGGTTTCACAACCATCATAATCAAAAGCTAATTGTGGGAGCGTTAAAAAGTTTCACTCTGAAATTTAATCCCTGATATACCAGGCCCGGAAAGAAACGCAATCCAAATACGTTGAACTTTGAAATATTTGGATCAATCGATTTTGCTTCAAACAAACCTGAAGAATGAAGAAATCTTTCAGTGAAAGGACAAGTACAAGTTCAGGTTGGTCTCTAAGTTTTCTATCCAAAATTTTGCAAAACTAGCACAATCGGAGTTAATTATGAGGTAATTTAGGGCAAAAAACATTACCTCTAAACTTGCATTTCTACACTGAACAAGAAACTCATAATTGTTTGCGTAATTTTTGAGTAATCGGTTTTTAGAACCGCAAACGTTGTTCAAACAACTCAAAATTCCGTTCAAATAATAGATAATTTTCCTATGAAATAAGGTATCAAAGATAAAATCAAGTTTCTAAGAAAACCGGAATGTTTCATAGATAGCGGTGATTGACAACAATCGTTTGCAAACAATGTGTTTTAGGGGGAAAACCGTTTTTCCCACCGAATGTTTCTGAAATTATTGGATTGGATAGACGTAAAGAGTTAGAAACTAATGGGTTTTAAGGCCGTCGTTCCGTAGAATTTCTTCTTGACGTTTCGCAAGCACGAGTGGCTTGCATCTTCAGAAGTGGAACTCACCGAACGACGGCCTAAAAACCCGAAAAACCCAATAGTTTCAAGCAATGGCCCCGAAAGTCTATCTCTGTCGTAAAGAGTTTGTTTACCTTATTCTGCACTGGTTGTTGCTGCTGCGTTTGCTCAGCCATCACTTGATGTTCAGGCACAGTTTGTGAGGAGCTGATGGGCTGAAACTGAGCAGAATTTTGCTGCTGTCCTCTAGCCTGTTCAACGACCATCACCGAGCTGATGCGCATTCCTAAAACCAATAAACCTAAGTTCTTTGTCATTTGCTGAACAAAGTGTTACCTTGGAATTGCTGACTGCCCACGTTAGCTGGCGTCCGAGCGACTTGCTGCGGCTGAGACTGAGCGACAAACGCGTTCGACTGCTGACTGACAAAACTCCTTTGAAAAGCCCCCGCAGGTGGCACGGAGTTGTCGTAAAAGTAAGCGTTTCCTTCGGGATTCGCTAACTGATAGGGCGGACCGGTTGATGAAGGCACTGAAGAAGTAACTGTTTGGTACGACAGTGGACCTGAAGCGCCCTGAGAACCTGAAATGAAAAAAGCCCCCGTTAGCGAAACAAAACATGCATAAACCTAAAAATTACTTATGTGACAAACTGACACCGAACGCGCTAAGCAACGACTAGCGACGCAACAATTAGCGATAAAAACTCACTAGGTACGGGATGTCTGTGCGCTTGAACCTGTAAAGGTGCCTGGATAAAGACACTTGAGCCAGCATTGATCTGATTCTCCGTGCTGGCGAACACTTTCGAAATGGACAAGGTTTGAGGAGGGACTCCAGAGTTGGGTCGTTGTGACACTATGGAAGCTGGCACATTTACTGCAAAAGCATAGAAAAATCACACTCGAATCTTGGTTGAACACTGCCAATACTTACTCGTCCTTGTGGTAGTGGTGACTACCGACGACGAGCAGCTTTTCAGCTGAGAGGGCATTTGGGTTAAGTGAATCGTTGCTGCAAGGAAATAAAGTTAATTAACTTTCAGGCAACAGAAGAAGGTAATTTTTAATATTTTCTTCAAATCAGCCTGCTCTTTGCGGGGGCAGGCTTGTTTCATTGCTATTTATGTATGTATTCTACCACGATCAAAGAATCGCGCAACTTGCAATCACCTGCAGGCTGAGTAATGACTTTGGGCCCTTGTGCAGTCTGCTGCACCCTTGCTAGCCCCCCATTGGCCACAGCCACCAACGACTGCAGATTTAACGTCGACAAATTCGAGGTCCGCGGCTGATTCAGGATATTATTTGAACTTGTGACCTGCAACACATATTATGTTGCATGAGGAATAAAGCAGCTTCTACCTAGGTAGCACACCCCCATTAGAATCCATGCTAAATCAATCTTTTATACTTACAGCAGCTGAATTTACAGTCAATCGACCCACAACATTACCAGATGGTTGACTAGTGACCAGCCTATTGGTTGAGGTCAAGACAGTGCTATGAGGAGGTTGACTGGTTGAAACAACTGGAATTCGCTGATTGATTAAATTGGAAGTTTGCGAAGCAGTAATCACTCGGGAATTCTGCACTTGCGAAATCGGCACGGCCAGTCGGGGGCCGCTTACAATAGAACCCTGAAAAATCAACATTTAGCAAATTCACCAGATTTTCAGTTAGTATTCACGTGCCAGAGGTCTGGGATGAATAGGCGGCTTTGCCTGATTCTGAGCTGTAGTCGCTACAGTTATTCTTGCAGCGGGAGTAAACTGAGCGCCAGTGTTCGCACTGTATACTACGGCCTGCGGCCTGGATGGCACCACCTGCGATATGGACACAGTGTTTCCCAATTGTGGTTTAAACGAGTGAACCTGCAAAAATTTAAACAATTCACAATATTGATTGACTATTTAAAGATTAAGCCAGCCATTTTCAATAATACAACTCGTCGACATGGGCATGGGCTCCCGTGGCAAAAATCGAAAAAACGGTTGAATATGGGCATTTTCTGTAACTTTGATGCACAATCCGAGAAACTTTACTAAGTGGATCCAAATTGTCCAGCGGGCATGTTCTTGGCTGTTGGAACATTTTAAAGTCGACAGTTTCCAGAATTTGTAAAACTGAAGTTAAACTTTACCGCAATACTAACAATCTAAGAACGCATTAAAAAAAAATTATTCAATAAACGTAAACCTTTCCGACTGTGTTCGACAAAATATGGCTTCCCAATCCTTCTCTCCCGTTAAATCGAACTATTTTGTCCAAAAGAATATTTCATATTACCAGCTTTCCATTTGCCGTCACGCTCCGTGCGGTTCCTTCCGTATTGAGTATTTCACTAAATGCCTACTGGTTGTTCGATGCCTCTTTCTCATTGCCGAGCATTCTGTAAATCGAAACAATGCGTACCGACAAAACGTATAATATTACAAGTTCCCTCGTCTCCAACTACACGAATTGTGAACTATCGTGGTGAAAAACTGAAAATTTTCATAACCCACGGCACAATTTTTGGTTTGATTGTAAAACAATGTTTGCGTATTCACCTTCAACTAGTAGATCGTCTCTAAAACTAAGCGCTTGAAGCCCATCCATTCAACTACTCGCTTTACAAGTACGAGCAAGCTGTTCAAGAACTAATGTAAAACATCATCAGTTTCCTGAAAGCCTTCTGGTTCTTTTTCCAGCATTTACCTAAACCGCTTCTGTAGTATATCATTCCCGACTCACCGTTTGCCCTATGGTGATAGCATTGGACAAGAGAGTGCTGGAACGAATTGCGGGAATTTGCTGTGTAAATTGAGGCCGCCCCGCAACTGGTTGTTTTCCAGTGACGGTCGCCCCTCTTACTGGCGAACTGAGCACTGTTGGGGCCCCTTTGATTTGAGAACCATTCGAGGAGTTGGTCAACCAAGCTGCACCTTGCGCCGGGCTGGGTGTCCTAGGAAAAACACACGTTTTAGAGGGCGTTTTCTCTCAACAATCATGACCTTTTAAAAAACATCCCGCTGCTTACCTTGCAGGCCTTACAAAGGTATGCGCTTGACTGTTCTGAGCAGTAACTACTAGTGGGGTACGCACGGTAGTTACGTTGCTTCTTGGGGCTGCCAAGTTTGCGACAACCGCTGGCCCCCTGGGCACATGATACGATGTTCCTGATGGATTGGGCGCTGCCACTATCGGCAGAGTGGTTCCAAGGGAAATTTGCGCTGGCCTTTGAATGGAAATACTTCCTGCTGGTTGCGATTGTGAATGAGATTGTACAATAGTGGATATTTGAGCCTTGTTGGGATCTGCAATGAAGTAGAGGTTAGAAAGTTAAAACCCCTGTTAAACGGTTAACAAAGCAGAACATCAAAGTTTTCCCTGCATGGAAGCGTAAAGAATCCCTAAGGCCCCCAACTGAAAGTGGTTTGGTTTACCAGACGCCCAGCTGGGGACACATTTAAGGGAATCTGTTTAATCCACAACAGTGTTCACCTTGTTTTATTACTGCTCCTGGCATCAAATTCGTAATGATAGTGGGCCCAACTGAAATAGGGCTACTGGCAGCTGAACCCCCTTGAGTGAGCACTCTCACATTCCTCAGGGCTTGGCTTGTCATAACCAAAGGTGCTTTGCTGCTTTCCACTGTGCGAACCGCCGTCATTTGAGCCCGCGCCAAGTCCAACGGTAGTAGCTTCTGGGGCTCCTTGTGGTCGTCTGGATTTCCGCTCATGTTGAAAAGTCTTTTAATTAACACAAAGCTGGTTGAACTAAAATAATGCAACACAATCACACTGATTCTTGTATATTCAAGCTTCCAGCTGACTGTACATGTAGAACTGTTTGCAGACTAAACTGACGGTGAGCTGGGGGAATGATTTCACATGTTTGTAACGCGAGAAAATTAATATTTTTCAAACAAATATTTATTAGAAAATATGGGCTTTCAAAACAAACTTCAAAAGTTCGTCGATGGCGACCATCTACGAACACCGCACTGGCAACAGTGTGCGCCCTCGAAGCTCATTTTAACCAAGCGCTACAAGCCATGCGGACTTCTCATTGGCCTGCTACGAACGTAGATGAATTTTGCCGAGAGAATAGAGAAGATGAAAAGCGGTGTTGCATGAATAGTAAACATAGACATATAATCGAGTACACAGATTACAGAGTGCCCTGAACCTCTGTGATCTGTGATCCAGTAATAGCCCAGAACCGTAAACACGCCCTTATATATGTTACAGAATATTGTCAATCGAATTAAATTAAAACGAATTAATGTTTTGGGCGCATAATATTGTTAAGCATTTTAGTGGCGATTTTATTTGCAAAAATTCAATTTAAGTAACTAGCGATTTGTTCTAAAACATTCTTTCTATACTGATTCTAGCTAACCTTTTCTAAACCTGCACATATCAGAGATTCTCTCTCATCTCAAACCAATGTTATCATCTATTTTATCTGTTTAACCGCATGTAAAAGGCTCTCAAAATGTGACAACGACGCAATCTGAGCATTTTCACTGACAGAATTTCACCAACTTAACCCCCAATCCTCCAAGAATGACAACAAATTGCTAAATTATACATCAGCTCACTTTAATTAACGAAAATTAGGAATACCTGAAAACGAACAGCAAACAATGAATAAAGCCAAAGTTAAACTGAAAGTTGCCTCAATATTTTGGGCGGTTTTATTCAACGCAATGTGTTTGGCTGATGGAAATGGGGCTGTTGACCGGGGTTTGTTTGAAATATGGGGCCCTGGCCTAGAGTCCCAAAATATAGTCATGCCTGCTCGCTATTTCTTTATTCGTCTTCTCAACTACAACAAAGAAAGGTAAGAAAATAACTTGTTTGGATTGATAATTTTCGTCCGTTACTCTGGACGCTGATAAAGGCCCAAATATTTTGTCTGTCCTAAGACTAAGAAGTCGAATTTAGTCTTAATTATATAGACGCTCAATCAGAAACACCCTATTGATTATCCGGGTATTTTTGTAGCGTTCCAGACAAATTCGAGAGCAACTTCCAAATCACAATCAATGGGGGAACTGAACAGAACAAACCATGCCGAATTTGGTCGAATATTTTGAACCGAAAAGACGGTTCCCTGATTGTAAGATACAAAGTCTACGATCAGTGTTCACGGCTGGAAATCAGCGTTAAATACCAACAGCAACATGTGGCTGAATCTCCCTATTTGGTTGAAGGATTAATTAATCCTGATAGTTGTTACTGTCCAAAAGAGAACATTGATGGGGCGATTGATTCTTGGAAGTGCAAAGCTCTGCCGGCACAAATAAGAGCCGACTTTGAGCCCTTTCAGAAGATTGACTGGGACGTTACCAGACCAAAGGTGCCTGCATGAAAAATCTATCCCGGCGCAAAATTACTTAACGGTTGTTTCATATAGGTGATAAAGCAGTTTGATAAGCCACATTCAGTCAGCCTCTGCCACTATGTGATAAAAGACAACCAGGTATACAGAAAGTGTTACGGCAACTATGTGGGCTTCAACATGTTTTCGGATAGCATACTGCTATCGCTAACTAGAAAAGCTGCAGTACCTGACTTGGAATTTTTTGTGAATTTGGGAGACTGGCCTTTATCTGCCCAGCATTTGGAGGATAAATTACCGATATTTTCCTGGTGCGGAAGCGCTGATACCAATGATATAATAATGCCCACTTATGAACTGACTGAGTCTGCCTTGGAAAACATGGGACGGTAGGCGGGAATAGCTGCTATGAGCACTTGTTGGTATTCTGGACTTAAAATGGAATTTTAGGGTGATGTTGGATATGTTATCAGTGCAAGGCAATGGAGAATTCCCGTGGAATCAACGACAGTCCAAGCTATTTTGGAGGGGTCGCGACTCCAACCGTCACCGTTTGGACTTGATTAGTTTATCCAGAAAACACCCCGAATTGTTCAATGTATCCCTGACTAATTTCTTCTTCTACCGCGACGAGGAGGATGTTTATGGCCCAAAAACTGACCATGTGTCTTTCTTCAGATTCTTCGATGTAAGCCCACTATCACTGCTGATGAATGTTTGCGTTAATATGGTACATTTTCAGTATAAATATCAACTGGCAATTGATGGTACTGTCGCTCCCTACAGAACCCCATTTCTTCTAGGAGGAGGTTCTTTGATTTTCAAGCCACACTCCAAATACTATGAGTACTTTTACAGAGACTTGCAACCAAATACGCACTACGTTCCGGTGGAATCTAACTTGTCTGACCTGATAGAGCGAATCCAATGGGCTAAAGCCAATGACGCGGAAGCGGAAAAAATCGCCCGAAATGGGCAGGAGTTTGCCAATGAAAACCTGCTACCGCAGCACATTTTTTGCTATTATTTCCATCTGCTGAACGAGCTAAGTAAAGTGTTGGAGAGTGAAGTGCGCGTGCTGGATGGGATGGAACTGGTTAAGCAAAAGAACCTCAGCCCCTGCGATTGTTCGCAAATAAAAACAGCCGAGCGAGATGAGTTATAACACGAATCACAGTGTTACTTTACATTAGGGGCAATATTGTTCCATCAACATATACAAGTGAATACAATTAGTAATTTTTAAGTTGTGTCAATAGGATTTGAGCAAACCTTCGTCTAGGAATCCTCGAAACCTTTAACATATCCAGCCTTTTCCAGGTTCAGTAAAATCATCTCGATTTCATGCAGCAATTCCCTCTTTACAGCATCGGGCACCATGGATCGAGCTTTTGGTGTCACAGTACTAATCAGCTCATCTACACTGGAGATGTTTGAGCTGCCACTTTCAGTTAAGAGCTGCCGGCAGGCGAGTCGAACCTGATCGCGCCATCCACTTTCCACTAATCGTGTATGAACCAACTCAATCACCCTGGAAGTGAAAAAACACGCTCTCAAACGGGAAAGACATTCAATGAAGTCCATTACCTGTCCAGCCCATTATTGATATCCAGGTGCATGTTAACACGAGAATCGTATTCTTGTGACATTTTAATTCGGCCCAGGTAGATTGTTTAAAATTTTATTTCTGTTACTGGACTGGAATTGTTTTGATTTTTGATGTTTTAACCTAGAAAACCGTTATTGTCAGGTTGAGTGGGATAGTTGACGACGTTGCCATGCTAGGAGACCTGAGTAGCAAATTTCATTTTTTATAGTTATTTTAGAGGCGAACCAAGTTATTTTCTTCTGGGCTCTTGTCGATATTATTTACATGTTTAAGGAAAATATATTAAACTTAGAGGATACTTGTGTAAATTGTTTGCTAATTTTTCACTCTGATGCCGAACTTTGACCGTCTCATCTTTATCTATGACTTTGACATTGCCTGTTTTCTGTCACATCCTGTTTTTTTGTAACCTAAAAAGTTTATGCATGTGTTGTGAGATTATTTGTATTTTCTAAAGAAACATGGGGAAGAAAAGTGCGAAGAACTCAACGCTAGGGCGGGCCTTGATCAAGGACCGATTTAGGGGCCACCATAATCGAGGAACGGCCGCTGGAGACTGCATGGTATGCGTAAATTCCCTGTTTATGTTTAATATTTCCTCAATCAAAGTCCTGCGTTCTCTGTGATTCACTCGATTCTAAAGGAGTTTGTGACTATAGGGCTACAATTTGGATCTTTCTGAACCAAGATTTTCCATCAATATTAACAATCGCAGCATGATTTTGATTGTGGAGATCAGCTCACAACGTCCTATACAAAATGCTTTAGCCTCCTCACAAATGATGGAAATATGCCCCCCATAGTGTCCCAAAAATGTTCAATAAAAGCACAACCATTTGCTTTTATATATTGGTCCTTTTAATCAATTTTGCACTCACTAATCAAACAATGATTCTCTCAGCTCCACACAACGGAACTTGACTCCAAAACAAAAACCAACTATCAGTCCGTAACTGAAGAGTCGCAACTAGATGAACTATTGTACAAAGCTACAATGGCTGGCCAGTTCTATGAAACCGAACAGCAGGATGTTCGGGTCTTAAAGGGGCCTGCAGGTGTCGGACTGTTGTCAGACGCCGAGTACCAGAAAGCCCAAGAAACGCATGAAAAATTCCGCGATTCTTTAAAAATTCCTCGGCGGTAAGTTCAAACTGAAGCTAATTTAATAGAGTAATAGTTGGCTGCATAAAATGTTTTAGACCGACCTGGACATCAGCTATGTCCCCTTCGATACTAGACCAACTTGAGAATGAGAGTTTTTGGGAATGGCGAAAATCTTTGTCCAAGGCGCAAGAAGCTAATGGGTTTCTTTTAACGCCATACGAAAAAAATCTGGAATTTTGGAGGCAGCTGTGGCGTGTGGTGGAAAGGAGCGATGTGGTGGTGCAAATAGTAGACGCGAGAAATCCGCTATTGTTCCGATGCGAAGATCTAGAAAAATATGTGAAGGAAGTGTCTGAGTATAAACTTAACATGCTGTTGGTGAACAAGGCCGATTTCCTCACTCCAGCTCAACGGCAATTGTGGGCCGACTACTTTTATTCTGTTGGTGTTAAAGTGGCGTTTTATTCTGCTCTGGAACCGGCAGAAAATTCGACCACTGAACAAGTCGCCGAAGGGCCGCAGGGGTCGAATATTAATGATAAGAAAGAACTGGAAACGGACATAAAAGCACTAGAACAAGCAGTGGAAGACGAGGGTGCCGCTCTAACTAAAATTATTGCGGCCGTTGACGCTTTAGTGGCCAAATCAAACTGCAAGGAGGAACTGGAAGATTTCGTAAATAATGATACCAGGGTGCTTTCAAGAGAAGAACTCATCGACCTGTTCCATACAATGCACAAAGGCCCGAAAGTGACCGCGGATATTACAACAATTGGACTCGTCGGGTATCCAAATGTTGGCAAAAGTTCCACAATCAACTCCTTACTGATGGCAAAGAAAGTTTCAGTTTCTGCCACGCCGGGCAAAACGAAACATTTCCAAACCTTCTATTTGGACAACGACATCATTCTGTGCGATTGTCCAGGCTTGGTTATGCCCAGTTTTGTTTTCACTAGAGCCGACATGGTATTAAACGGAATTTTACCAATTGATCAGATGAGAGACCACATTCCTCCCATCAGTTTAGTTACACAGCGCATACCTAGGCATGTGCTTGAGGACATGTATGGAATCATGCTGCCGATTCCTCGGGAAGATGAGGAAGACCCCCAACGATGCTCCACAGCGGAAGAATTTCTCAATGCCTATGCGTGTAAGGGAAAAATGATGCAGTTTAATCATTGAATATTTGACGAATTTTTTTGTTGATAGACAACAGAGGTTTTATGACGGCGCATGGACAACCAGACGGGTCGCGAGCTGCCAGGAAAGTCCTGAAGGACTACACAAGTGGAAAGCTCGTGTATTGCCACGCCCCGCCCGGTGTCGATCAAAGCACGTTTACTCTCTATCCTGAAAGGCAGAAGATGAAACTGCTAACTAGATTGGTGCCTCCTCGGGAAGCAAGAGCATTACAGGTCAGTAGTTAGCTTTTTATTCGCCAATTAGTCCAGACGTGCAAAGTATGAGCAGTTGTGGTAAAAGTGAATTACTTTTGTCGTTTAAGGGTACCTTACAATGTTTCAGTTGGGCAACGTAGCAGATCCTGCCTTGTCTTTGGTTCAAACGGAAAGCCATGAAAACTTGGAGTGCTTACCAATCCAGCGGAATCATGCGAAAGGGGTGGCTAGCCTATCAATTGACGGGTATGTTTTCTGTTTGAACCTCAGTTGATATGACTTATCTTTTTTTAATGTTACAGCCAATCTCTAGGCTACTCGAGTGCAAAGCCCTGGAAAGAGTTTAACAAGCATAAAAATAAAGGAAAAAAAGAAAAAGCTCGCAGGAAGTACGCCTATTTGGATCAACATTGATTAGAACATTTTTTAAATTAATTTTGAGTCAAACTGGATTTTCAAGTTGGGTTGAAATCGAGCCAGACATCAAAATTGTGATTTTGTTATTAAACTAGTACAGCAATAATTTTGACGAATGATTGTTGCTTTTATATTTTAATGCTCAATATTTGGTTTCGGAATATTTCCTGTTATAAAGCAGACCTTTGTTACAGTAATTTTTTTGGAGGAATTAATATAATGGCTTTATAAAATTCGGCGTTTGTTTGTATAATTTTGTTCCCCCTTTAAATTATAAATGCTATTAAGACGCAACGGGCAAAGGGGCTGATTTTCAAACGTAAAGGATTGTAGCGACAAAACACTGGATAAGGGTTAAGAAAGATAAAATGCAAGTACATTGCGGTTTAATCCCGCTGCATTGAAATATCAATTAACAGTTTGCTTTATTGAGTAAAACTTGCTGGATAGGATTGGATTAGAATACTTCCAATTGAGCTGATTAGCAGCATTAATATCGAAAGTGTCGTTATATACAGATACCTTATATACAGACGTACGATTAAGTTAATTTGCAAAAAATAGACTTTCATTCCAATATACCTGCTTGAAACCACATTTAACAATTGAGATATCGCTCTCGCCGATCTTGCAAAAATGCAAAGCAAATGTAGTAGTAGGAAACGGTGGCAACTGTTACAAGGCCCTTGGAATTCCTAGTTGAAAACTATGCTGTGCAGTATCGGTCGTTGGCATTTTTCTTCAAACGAGTGCAGCACTTCTTCAATGTCATTGTCTAGATCTTCAGCTGTGACTATCTGTAAACAAACTCATTATTTTCCCTTGATATCAAGCTAAGTAAAAGGTATCTTACGTGCATGCACAGGTCACTGATTAAAAAGGCGCCTATCGTTGCTTCTTCTAAATTGTCTCGAATGTCTATATTGATCACATGAACTATGGAGTTGTCGGAAGGAGCCTTGTTTTCCATGAACTCCAACACCTGGTCATAAACCCTTTCCTCACAAGTGACCAGGATATCAAACTTTTCGGTGCTATCCTGGAACTTCTCAGGATGGCTCTTAATTCGTCTGTTTCGGTCCAGCGTGTGCAGCAACCCGTTTTGAGTATAGAGTGTTTTGTCCTTTTCGAGCAAATCCTTGTAGATATCGTCGTAAGAAGTGCCGAATTCATAGATGTTAGGCCGGTCCGCAGCGGAGCCTGGTATCTTAACTTTGTCGCCTGTTCCAAAAGAGTTCACCCTGAAGCCCTTTTTGGAGAGGAAAGCGTGCGCTTCCATGCTTCTATTCATGTTGCTAGAGCATATCACGGCTATTCGCAAGTCGCTGACTGTTCCCATTTTGAGTAGTTCGAGATAAACGAGCTGATATAGGGAAAATGTTCAGGAGGATACAAATAAGGGATTTATGTAAAGGGAGCTTGAGTGATTGATGTTTAACCAAAAGCTGTGATTAACGTATTGATGACTGAGGTCATAGATAAAGACAGATATACTCCTGCAGGACAGGAGTGAGATTGACAGTACTAGCAGCTAACCTACAAACTTGCGTAGAAGATTAGAAATTTGATCTGGCAACGCGCTTTTTTTAGAGCGAACTTTGTGGCCTTTTACGCCTGTTTGCAGTTGAGTTGCCGGTTAATGAAAAGTAAGAAATCTAAGGGAAATTTAACGGAAATGTTTCTGGTAAAGATAGTTGGAAAATTTGTATGATTTGGTAGTTTAATGGAAAAGGAAGAGTCCCAGTCGGTAACACACTAGCGCCTCCAACGTCAAACGGCATCCCATGAGTTGGATTTCCGAAATTTCCCGTCAGTCGGTTCTTGAATAGTAGGAGTTTTGTGTCATGGCTTCTCGTCAATCCAAGGGATTCTCGTTTAGATGAAAATAAAAATAGTGAGGAAATCCGACTGTTTTCTGCTAAACTTTGATAGGCACTCACTTCGACTGTTAAACCGAATACTACAAGGCAAGTAGAGTAGCAATTGGTCCTTTTCGAGCTCTTATTCCGTGATCTTTTGTACTTCCTGTGCGTGTGGGCTACAAAGAACCCTTTGATATCGCCCATAACCCCAAAATAATGACCCTGGATCACGTTGGGTTATTATTTAGGGGCGCATGGAGTGAGCTTAATCAGCAAACCCTAGGCCTTGTGGGTCATTTCTAAAATTAGCAGAAATTTGGCCTTAAATGGCACCACCCATAAAGTAATTTTTTTGCTGCTTGCAGGGCCGACCACCCAGAGCTTTGTTACTTACCTAGAATGGCAACAGTCGTTCATAAGAATGCATTAAAGTCTTTGTCCAATGGTAACGGTATTGGACACCATCCAATGCAAACCCTCAATGCCTTTGACAGCATGATTCCTCAAACTCAATACGAAAACCATGAGTTAACCGGCGAAGTGATTATCAATGAGCAAGTGGACCTGCTAGAACAGAGCGGAACCACAGTAGAAAACAATGATGAAATGCAGCAAGAAGCTGAAGCTGAACCGGAAGTAGACATAGTGATAAACAATGTGGTGTGTAGTTTTAGTGTGAGGTGTCACTTAAACTTGCGAGAAATCGCTCTTAATGGCACAAACGTCGAATATAGGAAGGAGAATGGCATGATTACGATGAAATTGCGCCGTCCATACACCACAGCAAGCATTTGGTCATCAGGGAAGATCACGTGTACGGGTGCAACCAGTGAAGATTCTGCCAAACTGGCGGCGCGGAAATTTGCCCGCTGCCTCCAAAAACTCGGTTTCAATGTTAAATTTAACAACTACAGGGTTGTTAATGTGTTGGGGACTTGCTCGATGCCATTTGCTATTAGGATTAACTCATTTTCTCAACAACACAGAGAGGCTGAGTAAGTATAGCTTCCACATTCTGTTAACTGTTCCAGTAGCCAAATGGTTTCATGGTTTCACCACGTGTTTTTTCAATCTTGTACTGGAGAGTATAAGAAGATACTCTTATACAATGATATGTCGACAAGAGACGCTCGGTCGCATCAAGTACCCTCTCGGGCTTGTTACCCCCACATGCTCTAATGGTTCACTCTCTGGGGAAATTAACCCGCTAAGGCTCCCAAAGTACTCTCTTGAGCAGTACTAGCTTCGACTTTTCAAGGCCATTTATTTCTCTCTAGAATGATGTACAAATGAGCGTTCGTGCTCATTTTACCTCCAAGATATGAGCAAAAACGGGACGGAAAACATGAAATTTTGGCATAATCTTGAACCTAAGTGTGTGATATTCAAATTTCGCTTTCTGGGTCAAAACTACTCGCATTTCCTCACTAACGTTGTTACGACTGAATCGACTTTTCAATTCTCTATCCAACGATGCCAAAACGAATTCTGTGGCTCGAATGGTTCTTGAGAAACTTCGAAAAAAGCAGCGGCATGTTCAAGTGGATTTTGCAACTCAAAAAAAAACCACGCAAATCTAAAACTTCTGGAATTCAAGCATTTTTTGAGAAAACTGCCAACATTTTCTTATCCTTATCACTTTCTAAAAAGGCCATTTATTTCTCTCTAGAATGATGTACAAATGAGTGTTCTTGCTCATTTTGCCTCCGAGATATGAGCAAAAACGGAACGGAAAACATGGAATTTTGACATAATCTTGCACCTTTTATGTATTACTTCAATTATAATAAGCAAAGGTGGGCACAGCCAAAAGTCTACCGGGTGTCCCAATGGGAAAGGACTGGGGGATATCGAAAGTAATCAGCAGATGTTTCCCTGTTACAGCCTTGAAAGTTCTTTGAAAGCAGTCGAAGGGTCTAAGTATTCGAACACCCGGTACATATTGAAAAAACAGCCAGTTCTATTGCGGATTCCAGTAGTGATTAGACATTTTTTGGGTTGGCAACGAAATTCGTATTGTCTAGCGCAATCCACAATGAATTTCCGAACATGTTTAAAACAACGGAATGATCTTCACTCTCAGAGAAGATTGAAAATAAGCAAAAATGTACATTAAATGTTGTAGGATTATTTTTATAGACAATTTAGAGTTAGATTTTTGCAGGTACTGCTAAATGATCTCATGTTGGGGTTGTTCTCAGTGTGTTGTTTTCTACAGGATGTCTGGGAATAAATGCAGCAGCTAATTTTGCACTAAAATTTTGAAGGCATAAAAGGCAATGAAAGATTTCTTCCATACAAATGATTTTACATGATGACATGAATTTATGATTTCATTAAAACATTACTGTTTGAATTTCAACAAAACTGGACAAACGATTGGAAATTTGAAACGCGACGTTTTTCCTCCGTATTGAAGAACTCTTGATATCGTTTCTTTCAACTACGTTAAATAATTCTCCTCAATAGCTCATCTCTATTCTCATCTCTGACTAAAGAAGATGCAAGCCACTCGTACCTCCGAAACGCCAGGAAGAAATTCAGTATAAATCACGTTTGCATCTTTCGAAATTTCCATTCAAATCCATTTATAAATAAACTAAAGGAATAACTAAAATTACATTTTTGTAAATAGTCCACTGATAAGTAGCGTTAAATAAAAAAATAAGAGCATTAAATGTATCCCAATTTCACATTCAAGGGTCAGGATTAGTGAGAAGAACACTCTTCTCATAGATAAGTTGCTGTTGATTCTCCATATCTGAATACTAATGTGTTTATATCGGACATTTATTGTTTATGCTGACCTTGTTTTTTTTCGGCAATGTTCATTAAGTATACGAAACGGTAGTGTAAAGGTTAATTTTCAGCAAATTGAACAGGGAATTTCAATTCAATTTAATTCAACATAAATCTATCTTTTAATTGTTTACAACTGCAATTAAAAGTAATTTTCAATATTGCGACCGCATAGGAAGTTTCTCATATCGACTTCCTTACTGGCAATGATTCACCTAAGCAATTATTTCATTTAAACGTGTTCGACACTGATAATTGACACCCACTTTTTCGCCTTAATTGGGTCAGTCAAATTCATCCGCTCGTTATCACTTAACTAATGAACCATTTTAAGTGAGAAGGTGAATTTAATAAGTGAAACTGGCGCTAGCATGCAAGCGAAAAGGAAATTGGTACTCGCCAATTTGTCCCCATGAATGCACCATGGATTAAATGTTTTATATGTATCTTTCAGTTACGAACCAGAACTGCATCCAGGAGTCACGTACAAACTACAAAATCCACGGGCCACCCTAAAGATATTTTCCACTGGAAGCGTAACCGTAACAGGTGATTATTCACTAGTTCTTTGTGAGATGCGCAAATAACACTTTAATCGCGCAATTAAATCTAAGCGAACAGTTTGTTTTTACAATTCGTTTTTCAGCTCCAAGTGTAGCGGACGTTCAAGCCGCAATAGAATACATCTACCCGTTAATATACGAATTTCGCAAAGAACGTTCTAAAGAGGAACTGGAAGCTTTGGCCAAAAAGAAACAGAAACAAGACTTGTACTCTGATCCCGATCCTACATTAGCAAGTAACTATTTGCCTTTTGGTCCTACTATTTAAATGGAAATTTTTCAAATTTCCAGCATTAGCTACTGATGATATTAAAGAACAAATGGACACAGACGATGAAAACTGGGGCGACTAAAGCGGGTGGTTGTCTAACAACAACCGAACTTATCAGTGCTTCGTTCTGCGTTACAATGTGATTATTTTCAGAGCTTAGGTTTGGTTAAATTTCATGTCCATTTAGTGATTAGTATGTTAATTGTAATGCAGACAAGAGCGCGTTACAATTGATACACTTCTGTTAGTACTGTTGGCAATTATTCTCGTAAACACGCGAGAGAACTGTCCACATACTACTCACTAGTCAAGCCCCACTGATTTGACATTTTCTCAGTTATTTATTGATATCTATTATGAGACTGCTGCAAGTTTAAGTTTTTCTTCATTAACGAATAAATGTGCTGTTGAGTCATTCGAACCTTTAAATTATTTATGGTATGAGTATGATTGTAGCTTGAAACCATTTTTCATCAACAGTTAAAGCGACTTATTTCAGTTATTCGAGACCGTCTTGGGAATGGGCTGCTCTAACATTATTTTATACCGCGTAATAAGTGTTTGGTGTTTCTAGCTATGATGAAGAATCTTATATTTTGAGTTACCTTGCTAAAATGATACTCATGGTTTTCATTCGAATTAATACATTTTAGTAGTACAAATCGTCGACAGTTTCCCCACTACAGCCTTAGTTTTTTTGCATAGATATAGATTATGTTAAAGTTTGTACCTTAAACGTTAGATTAGTTAGTGTAGCCGTTTAGCGAATGTAATATAAAACGCAAAATATTGAGTGTCGTTGTAGGGTGTGTGTATCCTACGGACCGACTTAATTCATACTTTTTACTCGAGAATCATTCATTTTACATTTTTCCTTTCATCCTACTAGTAATAAACAATATCGAACTGAATCTCTGCAGATTTTAGGAGTAGGTTTTCTCAATAATAAACATACGACTTGTATTTCGTCGGTTATAAATGCACCAATTTACCAAATTCGACGCATTTAAGAAAGTCGCGCGATCATTGCGAGATACTATTTAAGCATATCGTTGTTATGTGGATGTTCTGTGATGATTAAGCTGAAAAAGTCGTTAAAACTAAGCACATAGTTCACATTTTGGAAAAGTTAAGGGACATTAATAACGCAACCTTAACTGATTCGCCGCACTTTTTCACAACTGATTCATGTATAATTACTAGCATTTCGATGTCACCTCCCAAAATAACGAATATTACTGTTCCCCAATGCCTTATAATGTAGTAATAATGTTTACATTTTTAGATACTCGAAAAGGCTACAAGTAATCAGGGTATTATCGTTCATTTGTATGCGGTTCAATAAAACCCTTCTTTTAATTAGAGGAGTACGATTTCAATTAGGTATTTTATATAGCCTGTTGGTACAAGCTTTGGAAAGCAATAAAACCAGTCAACCAACCGTCTGCCATTAGTTCATCAATACAAAACTTAGAGGAAAAATGGCAGATTATTAGCGTTGAGAAATTTGGGGCGTATACAATTTTATTCCGACTAAGCAGGTTCGGGGCACATGGTCATTAATCGATCCTGTGGGAAATAAGTAGATAGAAACATATACCAAAATCTTTATTTAGTAAGTACGAGTTTCAATGTGTACAGTGTTTTATGCGAAGCTCTTTTATTCATTGTCCTTCTGCTAAATTATGGATAAAACTGATTATTCTATAGAATAAAGTTTTTCTCAAATTTGTATTTTTCTGTGAATTTCAAAACCCCCTAACTTAAGTGATTTTTTCGTGCAATTGCAGGTGCTGGCGTAAAAGGTTCCTGCGGGCAAACGTTACTCCACATATTAAACAAATGTTGTCCCTCTTGGATTGATTTCTAACGGGAGATCGTCTAATGTTGCTAAACCCATCCTCCGACAGGCTTGTGAGGGTGGCTATAAATTGAAACAAACTTTAATTGATCAAACATTGCACTACTTAACGTGCCTCGTTCAATCAAATTTTTATCCCCGTCCAAAAGCCCTACTAAAACACAGATTTAAACGTTAGGCCAGTTTAGGGCTTAGGTTTACCTTGGTAGTTGACCAAAGTCCTTTCCACTTCTTTAATTTCCGCCAAACTGCTCGACCGTTTCTCTGGTTTGATTTTTCGTTTTTTAGACTTCGCGTCCTCCGTTCTTAGCTGATGTAATGATCCAGATGTTTCAATATCCCCAATCCATTCATTTCTCGCCGCTCCTGCTAAAAACATTGTCCGTTGATTCGATTCCCTTGAAGTGTTTTCTTGCAAGCTCATAGTATCGATACGAAACATCTTGGGAGCCTTCAGCTTATTTTTACACTGACTGATTTCTTCGCTGCTATCGCACTCTCCTGTCTCTGATTCATCAGCACCTTCTGCAACCGTATTACTAGCTTGATCAGTTTCAAACACCACAGAACTGGTTTTTCTCCTTTGGATTTTGTCCTTGATGAGGCCAAAGATGTTCAAGAACTCGGCCGTTTCGAGAAAAGCGCCCAACTTCTCCACTTCAATGCTCACCTCGCCATTGTAAATGAACCGAAGGATGTGTTGCAGGACGTTGAATTGCACTCCCTTCAGAACAATCACTAGCTTCTCTTCTTTGAATTCCTCGAACAGCTTGCTGAAATAGCCACTGCAGGCGGTCAGGAAAGCTTTGTGGGCCCCAATTTTCTGCCCTTCCGCATAAAGGGTTACATCGCAAAAAGCACTGTTTTGCCACAGTTTACTAAAGGAGTCTCTCACATGCTGAACGTGGCCTTTCCAGGTTAATGAATACTCTTCGCAAATCGATTCTGAGTTCATTTTTTAATTTGAAACAGCTTTTCACTGGGAATTTGGCAGCTTAGCTGTGATTTTGATTAATATGACATTAACATCGGGAATTTTAAACGAAAATAACTTAGGGCTAAAAAGGGGGCCAGTCTAAACATTAAACTATCGACGGTAATGCAACAAATGTTTTTTTAATAATTCACAGTTTCGCGAAGGAAAAAATACAATAAATAAATAACATCCAACGTTAAAATACTTGCGGGTAACACCGCGACCGTGCCGTTTACACTACCTAATACCTTCATCATTAAAATGTATGGCTAGATAATTTCTCAAAGTTTGGCCTTTGTTTCTTCCATCTGCACTCGTTAAGTATACATTCATCAAAAAAATATATAACAATGTGCTATGTACATTCATTATACCTAACTTTGATTATCCTATAGTTGGTGCAGTTTTCAGAAAAAAATCACTAATAAACTCCTAAGATTTGCATATATTGCGGCGTTGTGCCTACTAACCAATTCACTAGACCAATCTAGCTACTTGTTGCAATTTACCGATACGTGAATATTTCATTTAAAGTGACTCAAATAAATAAATTAAGTTAATATTCTAGGCTGGTTTAACCCAAACTACCTTACAATCTGGTTGTATCGTCGAGCAGACTCTTCAGTTCCTTCAGATGGGCTGCTTTGCTTCCAGTCGCAGTACTGGACGCTACGGCCCTACCGATGTAACTGCAAAAAAACACACCGCTAGCTAACAAAGCCTAATTGTACGAACAGAATCAAGCTCAAAGGGCGCGAACATCTAGAGGCCAACACACACATAACTATACATGAAGATATGATTTTTTACCTGACTGTTCTTTCGTCAGGTTTCGTCTCGTGGGGTTTCGGATCATCTTTTCCAAACAACCTAACGAACCAACCCTTTTTACTCGGACTAAAACACACCAGAGAAAAATCAGATTAGACAACAATCCAGTCATCTAATGAGCAAAGGCAGTAAAGTAAAATCAAGGGAAATAAGTCTTTGTGAGAAAAAAGTGACATTTGTTGAGAATCTTATCGACTGAACCTGAACAGAAACCACCGGAAGGTATTACTAAAGGTAACAAGCAGGCAACAACGGGAAGAACACAAGAATCATTTCCATCTCCTCCAACAAGAACAAGGAGTGGAAAAAGTGGCGTTAAAATCATATCTTCATCCAGCTAATGTCTATTGGCCGAGAAAATAAATAGTAGTGTCCACTTACATAACATCTCGTTGACCGGCCAATGTAGTTTCGAATCTGGGCCTAACATAAGTCCAGGCGCCTTGGTTCTTGTGTTCTTCCTGGGCCCAAGCGATTTGGGCGTTCGAGTACTTTTCGCATTCGTTCTTGATCAGATCAAATGGGAAAGGAGTTAACTGAAACGAAAAAAAAACCGTAAATTCTCAGTTGTCGACTGAGAGTTTCCATCGTTTTACCTGCTCGACTCGAGTGATGGCGATTTTGTCGTCAAGTCCCTGTTCCCTAGTGGCCTTAACCAGGTCGAAGTAGACTTTTCCAGAGCAGAAGATCAGCTTCTTTACGTTGCCAGGGTTTTGAGAGGCTTTGCCTTCGTCGGGGATGATTCTCTGGAATTCTGTGCCTGAAAAAGCCGAGCAGGCGTCAGCCTAAAACGCAAAAACGTGCACGAGAAATTACCTTCAACCATGTCGTCGAAAGAACTGCGGGCCTCCGGATGTCTGAGCAGACTCTTGGGTGTCATTACAATCAGGGGCTTTCTGAAAATTTAAGGATTTTTCGTTAAAACCAATGAACCATTTTTTGGCATGAAGCCTACCTGAAAGGCAAAGCAATCTGTCTCCTCATCATGTGGAAGAAATTGGCTGGCGTGGTGCAGTTGGTGATAATCCAGTTGATGTCGTGCAGTTGACGCACAGCAAAGTCCTCAGTTTCCGGTGGGAAATAGTCCGGATCGTCGGACGACATTTGCAGGAATCGCTCCAAGCGGGCGCTTGAATGTTCGGGTCCTTGTCCTTCCATGCCATGAGGAAGCAACATGACCAAACCGGTTTGCCTGACCCATTTGGACTGTCCGCTAGCCAAAAGCGTATCGATGATGCATTGGGCAGTGTTGGCAAAATCTCCGAATTGAGCCTCCCAAATGACTAACGCATTGGGATTGGTCATAGAGTAGCCTGCAAAAGCATTCAATTTGTCTGAAAATAGTGGAAATTAGTTGGCGATTTCTACCTAATTCGAATCCAAGAACACCATATTCAGACAGAGAACTGTTACATACAGTGTAAGGGGCCTGGTCGGGATATAAATTGCAGAGTGGTCTGGAAACAGCGTCTTTTACATAAGAAAATTGGAGAGCAATGCGGTTATTTACTTGTATGTGGCCTTATCGACAGTTTGATGATGCAAAACGTGATGCCTGTGGGAAAATGTGCCTCTTTCCACGTCCTGTCCGGATAATCGCACATGGATGCCCTCTTTGAGGAGCGAACCGAAAGCCATGGCTTCGCCCAGAGCCCAGTCGCAGACCCTGTTTTCCACCATTTCCAGTCGGGACCGCAGAATACGTTCGATACCTGCAAAGTTACAGCTTGCTATTTTCCAAAAACTCCAAAAGCGCCATTTAAATACCCTTATGAATAATGAACTCGGCAGCATTCGGCGGTGGAGACGAAAACCGCTTGCCAATATGCACCAGGGTGTCCTCAACAATTCCAGTTTTAGCCACCTGTAAAAAAAGCAGTATTCAACACAAAATCCTCGACTATAAAACCCGCGGCTGTACCTTCAATGGGTCCTTGCCTTCAAAGAACCCGGACCAGGGACTATCAATCCAGTCCTTGTACTTAATGTGGGTTTCTTTCCTGGCTCTGTCCAATGCCTCTTCGCAAATCTTGTCGTATTTCGCTTTAACGTCTTGCACCTCACTCTCAGTAACAACACCTAAAGCGGGTTTTAGTTATTTAAACAAAAGTTGCAAATCAATGCCTTTAGTGTTACTTACCTTCAGCAGTCAGGTGCTCAGCGTATTTATCCAGGCAGGGTTTGGTGCTTCGGATCTTCCTGTACATGAGCGGTTGGGTAAACATCGGCTCGTCGAGCTCATTGTGTCCGTACCGACGATAACAAACCTAGAACCAAGCGCCTAAATTGAGCGAATTGTTGAGAAAACACCGCGCCAACACTAACCAGGTCGATAACGACGTCTTTGTGGAAAGTGGCTCTCCACTCGGCAGCGATATTGCACACATGGATTACTGACTCTGGATCGTCGGCGTTTACGTGGAAAATTGGGGCGTTGACCACGCGAGCAACATCTGCAAGAGATTTGTTGTCAATATGTTAAACGCTCAGCGGCTAAAAGGGACTTGCCTGTGCAATAGGGAGACGAGCGCGAATAGCGAGGATCAGTAGTGAACCCGATTTGGTTGTTAACCACAATGTGCACAGTGCCATGAGTGGTGTAGTCCGGCAATTCGGACAGGCCGATGGTTTCAAACACCACACCTTGACCTGCAAAAGCTGCGTCTCCATGCAGCAACATGGACATGACCTATGGAGAACAACGTGAATAAGCAAGGAAAAAATTAAACAGCCACTTGAGTATCACCTTTTTACCCTCTCCATCGCCTCGGTAGAACTGCTCGGCTCTGGTCTTTCCTTCCACCACAGGATCAACGGTTTCCAAATGGGACGGATTGGCCACCACTGCCAGGCGGATATTTTTATTCGTTACACGGTTCAATCTAGAAGAACTAAAAGCCTCAGCATCTTCATATAAAAAAGCACCCAATCGTAGCACCTTTCAATGTAGGTTCCCAGATGGTACTTGACATCACCAGACCCATCGTCCACAGCCTCCAATCCAGCAAACTGAGTGAACAACTGATAGAGCGGTTTTCTGCAGACGTTAGCAAGTACGTT